ACTCACAAAGTAAATAAGTATTTTTAATAATCTTTTTTTAAAAAGCTACTGAACAAACCCTTAATATTTATTTATTATTTAGTTTATGTGCTAAAATGGAGAAGTCATTCTCTTCTCATTTTAATTCTGTCTCTGATGGGGAGTGGCAGGTACATTTTATCATTTTTCCTGGTATTGCTCTTCTAGACTATAGTTTTCGTATTGACATTGACCTTAAGCCCCGGGGGAATTGCTGCTTCACAGATTAAAAAGTTAATTGAAAAATCAGTCAGTCAGAAGAATGACCTTAATTAAAGGGCGGGACTTCGGAATGTGTGCACGAGGTTTTACACATTCAGGCTTCTCCAAAGTCACTGCCAAGGCTCTGTGGTTGATCACATGACTGGAAGAGTGAAGTGACCTGCACAGCTAGAGTGGGTTAGTAAAGGTTAGAGCACTCAAGGGTAAGACCATAGAGCACATGAGATGATTATGAGATGTCCTCCAGATGCTCACATGTTTCAATACTAGGTCACCCTCTGGTGGTGCTGTTTTGGAAGGTTATGGAAATTGTAGGTGTGGGGAGAGGCTCTGGAGGGCATGGGTAGTGGAGTTAGCCTTGATTCTGTATAGTCTGTTCCATTTTCCTGTCCACTCTTTGCTTCATGGATTCAGATTATGTGGCCAGTTGTCTTCCGCCATACCTCCCCCATCCTGGAGAAAACTATATTATATATATATATATATATATATATATATATATATATATGTATATATGTATACACACACACACACACACACATATATATATATATATGGAATCCCTACCATGCCTCCCCATCACGGACTGTGTCTCTTAATCCATGGGCTGAAATAAACCTTTCCCTGGGTTGCATTGGTCATTGGTCAGGTGTTTCATCATGGCAAGGAGAAGAGGAGCTTACACAGCAGGTCCAAATCAAATCATCCAGGTTATGGACCTCTCTTGGGGTTTGAATCTTCTCACTGAGCTCTGAGCAACATCACCTGCTCGACGGTTGTGAAAAGTGACAGCCAGGGTGAAAGGTGAGGAGCCAGTGGTTTCTGCAAATACCAACAGAGCCTGAGGTAGGCTGGCAGTGCGCATGTGCACTCGCACTCACGTCTGACCCTTTCCCACCCACCCAAAGCGGTGCGAACGTGACATGGTCCCCATAGGTGCATGCCTGTGGATGACTGGTTCTCCGATCTCTGATCTATGAAAGGAATTTTCCCTCTGCACTTTCTTTCAAAGTTACTCCAGAAGGTGGCTCTAATGTGGCTGACCTCCGTGCCTAACTTTCTCCCATGAATGAAGCAACTTATATGTACACCAGAGTCTGATGTGTTCCTTTCGCTTTTGGCTGGTCATACAGAACCTGCCACACCCCCACATACAACCAGGTATGCCCACAGTGGGGAGGGCCACTGTTAAAATTCTGTTGGGCAACATTGGGTTTCTAGGCTATTTGCTTGTGCCCCTTAAACTCCTTGATTCTGGTCACAATTTCTGTATTATAAATGGCTTCTAGGTATGTTTAACTGTGATCCAGTAGGGCTGACACATCTCAACTTACAGTGGGACAGCAAAGTGCATGGTATGTCCATATTCTGTGGTAATAAACTCCTTTTCTACAGGATCTGGTATTGATGATGGATGCTGTTCCAAAAGTTCTGCACCGTCTCTCCTCACTGTTGATGTTTGTGGCTTAACTGCATAACGTCTGACGTTGTATTGCCCAAGCTTAGAGGTCCTCGTCCTGCCATTCAGACTTAGAGCAAAGTCCACTCCAAATCTATGTCCACCAAAAACCCTGACATCCCCCTAGCCATGGATGGCAGAAATGGAATGGGTTGGCTCCAGACCCCCAAATAGCAGCCTACCAGGTGCTGGGCTTTCTTCTGTGTTAAGGGTTCTAAATGTCAGCAGTTTCTCCTTTACTTGGGAGGGAATATCTCACTCAGTATGCTCCTAACCACTAGGAGGGTTGAAGTCCCAAACAAGTTCACTGAAGTAACAGGTCCCTAAATCTTTACATTCATCCCCCAGCCGCATATTGCCAGGGGTGTGTTGACAGTCTATTGTCACTCAATGACATTTAGAATTGACAGGTGGCATACCTCTGGAAATTCCTACAATGGTGTTCCCAGGAGGGCTAACTGAGGAAGAAAGCCCTACTCACAAAGTAGCTAGCATCTTCCAACATGAAGTCTAGATAGAGAGGTCTGAGGAAGAGCGGTGAGCATGCTACTGAGATCAGCCATGGGCATGGCCTCCCACTTATTTGGCCTTCCACTGAAACTCATTACCAATGACTTCTAGGGAGCTTCCTGGTTAGCAGGCTTCCGGGATTGGGACTGCTGAGGTACTTGGCTTCTTGGATTAAACAGTTTTGGGTTTACTGTTGCACAGGTACTCATTGTTGAACCAAACCGCCCCATCATGCATCAGGGAGGGCAGCACACTATTGTGTTTTGTTTTGGTCGTTGTTTTTTATTTTTATTTTTTTTTGTTGTTGTTGTTTTTGTGGCAGGGTCTCTCTACATAGTCCTGGCCTGGAACTCACTATGTAGACCAGGCTGGCCTCAAACTCAAAGAGTCTGACTGTATCTGCCTCCCGAGTGCCTGGGTTAAAAGTGTGTGTCACTGTGCCCAGCCTAGCACTTTGGATTACAACAGAACCTCATAGATGTGAGGCAAAAAGCAGACATGAGCATTGTTGTACTCATAAAGTCCCCTTATTCTATCAGTGTACATGAGGTCAATGCAGATGTGAGGACTGGTCACAGACTGGCTGTCTTGGGTATCAATAAGGGACTTTCGCCTGTACCATCCAATGGCCTTCCCAGAAGTGACTATGACTCTTTGCCTTTCACAGGCTTCTCTCATGGAAACCTTGCGATTGCTTTCCCGTCATAACACATGACCTTTTGATTTATTCTTAATGACAGCGTAGTGCATGCCGTCATACTGTTTCCCAATACTTTTGTTACTAGATTACTTTTAGACTTAAACATATGTACATGTATTTATTTGTATGCATGCATGTGGCGGGGGTGGGGGGTAGGGGGTGGGGGGGTGGGGGGTGGGAGGTCAGAAGACAACTTGTGGAAGTCAGTTCTCCCCTTCCCCCTTATGAGCCCTGAAAGAATTCAGGTCACCACATTTTACTCCAGTTTTTTTTTTTTTTTTTTGGATAATTTTTTTGTCTTGTACCTCATCACATTATCATAATTGTATTTTGGCTTAGCATTGCATATGTAATAGGCCTATTGAAATAGTCTCATAATCTAAAGAGCAGTCCCTTTACTACTAAAGATAAATTAGAAGGCAGTGGTGGTGCACTCCTTTAATCCCAGCACTCAGGAGACAGAGACAGGCAGATCTCTGTGAGTTCAAAGCCAGCCTGGTCTACAGAATGAGTTCCAGGACATTCCAGGCTACTCACAGAGAAACTCCCCTCCCTCCCAAACGCCCCCAATAACAAAAGAAAAAAACAGGAAATTTTCTGGAATTCTTAAATGTTTTTCTTTATACTTCTATCCACTGAGTTTAAATACACATATATGGACTTATTATTTTTATCTATAAAATGTTAATTTCTGTTTGTAAGGAAATTTAATTAGGTAGCTTCTATAGAGCACTTGGAGGAAAATATATTATAATTTAAAATTTAAAAAGTATATATGTTATATGCATATATATGTATATATACATACATACATACATACATGGAATCCCTACCAAGAATATGTTGATGGAAGTTTTCTTCCTAAAATATCAAGAGCCTATTAACAATTTAAAAAAATGATTTAACTAAAGTTTATTTTTACTCTCTAGAAATGAACTAACCCTTGAAAAGAATGATTAAAGGTATCGGCACATTCTCTAGTGTAATAGTAATTAACGTAATTTCTAGTGTGAATTTAAAAGTACACATCTGTCGAACATGTGGCATTTGTTTATCTCAACTTGTCCTTTCTTATTCTACCATTTAGCATTGTTTTTAAACCTGGTGGCTTTACTGACAGAGGCGAGGCAGTGTCTACCTCCTAAAAACCAAACTAACAACAATACAAAGAAAACAAAAAGAGCAAAGATATACACACATGAAGCCTTATAAAAATAAAACTAGGGGCCTTGATTTAAGCCCACCATGTTGGTTGCCTAAAAAGTCATGTTTGGCCTTTAACACTGTCCTCTCCAACCCTTTGTCAAGCAAACTTCATGTCAGGTTTTCTGATAAGCAAAACAGTTACCCACAGTGATACAGACCTGGGTTGGAACATTTAATGGCTCCTACTGATGTCGTATTTAGGAAGCATAGACTTTTGTAGTGTTGTGCTGGCTTGAATGATAAGTATCAATAGTCAACTACATTTGAAATATTGTTAAAGTACCTAGAAATAATAGGCATTAAAATTCACTCCGTTCACGGCAACAAATCTCTAAAGACTCCGTGTTCTCAGTGGAACTGGCATACTGTAATTGTTATTTGGAAGTTAATGTAACCTCATCAGCAGCAGAGAAAACACAGTCCTCTCATTACGCACATGCTCTAAGATCGTTTATTTTAATGCTTTCAAATAAATATGTTCCATGCAGCACGCTACAATAAACAAGGAGCAGCAATGCTCTTGTAGTAAATCCATTCATAACGCGAGTCACCATGTAAAACACCACATCTCGAGTCTTTGGCCCTGTACCATATCATGAGGCACGGCACATCTGTACCCAATCATATCTGGCTTCATATGGATTTAATAGGACTATACCAGAAGTACATGTAAGCACAAATTCAACCAGAGGTTTCAAGCTATTAAATACAGCTACCAAGTAGTTAAAAGGCAACGACTAAACCCCTAAAGGTCCCCTCCCCTTTTGTTTTTGAGACAGACACACAAAGATAGTGTTGTGGTGGGTTTTGGGTGAGTAGGTACATGTGGAGTATACAGGGTAACACTGCACAAAATGGCACCCAAAATGTCACAGAGACACTGACACAGAAAGGACACCAAACACAGCACGGAAGCCTGGACTACAGACTCTGAGTTTAGCATGGAAGGATGGGGGGCCACATCGGGCAGGCTCATCTCACATCTAGGCAGCTAACTCAACAGTGCCTTCCTCCTCGCTGTCAGCCCTGTTGGCGCGGATCTCCACCAGGGTCCTGGCAAATCGCGTCCATTCATCATTGTGGGGAACCGCAAGCTGCAAAGCAAATCAGTGGAGAAATGATAAGCAAGATGACGCCTTGGAATGGCCGCTCCTCAGCAAAGAATGCAAAGGAAATCAAATACCCTGTGAATCAAGGAGGACCTGAAGTGTGGTGCTTAACCTACAGTTTCACTCTTGGAAAGGCCATCACTCAAGGAACGTGTAAAACCTTAAACATGTGCGTTAGCCAAACAATCCCAGTGGTCACATTAAAGCACTCATAGTAAGGAGAGTTCTTTGTTCTTGGGTCTCACGGTGAACTCAGGCAATAGAAGTTGCATTATTAACCACGGTTTCTGAATAACTGGCATTTTCTTTCTAGTCGAAGCTATCGATTTGTTTTCTAAAGTGCCGTTAATGACTCAATATATGTGGAGAAAGAATAGCCTACATATGCACAGAAATTTTCCTCCTATGAGGTCACGCTTGAGCATTTCCAGCAGGACCTGGCTATGAGTAACTGCAGTACTAACTAGCGTTGACTAAGGGTTCTTTCTAAGTACTTTACATATATCTACTCATTCCTCACAGCAGTCCTAGGTGGGGTAAATTTATCCTATGTATGTGAGCAAAAGATTTCCATTCTGTCGAAGGAGGAGGAGGAGACTGAAGCATAGAGGGAAAATCCTACCAAGGCTACATAACCAGCAAGTTTCCAGTGCTATGTGATTTCAGTACTGAATTAATATGCTATATTGATTTTCCAAAAGGGAAATATTGCAAATATTGTCTTCTGATGTATACAATTCAATAAAGAGGAATTAACACACCCTTGACAGAAATTTTGCATGCAAATTTTCTTAGCTGCACTAAAAGATTATGATCTAATGCATAGCATCCAGAACTGATTTGTTTAAAGATAACAGAAAGGGTTTGAAATAGAAAAAACAAAAACAAAACAAAAAAAAATATTTGAAGCTGAAAAGTTGGACTGAATAGAACTCTGAAGGAGTTCATACACATTAAAATTGATTTAGATATTACAGTAATTTTCCTGTATGATATGATCATTCTATCTACATACTAGGACTACACACAGTATCCATATATTCCATACACATTAAGGGCACAATCACCTCAATGAACACACAATATTGAAAGTAAAAAACAAACAAAACAAAACAAAAGGAAGAAGAGAAATCTAAGCATTTAAATTATTCCTATAGCCAGAAAAGTACCCACTACACATAGCCAGATGATTAGAAAATTCAATTTTCATAACAGGAAATCATAGTCTCAGATACTATCTGTCCCAGGAAACTTCCTAGAGAGTGACTGTGCCTCTGTAAAGTGTGACCTTAAGTGACTTCTACTACTAAGGCCAAGCGTTTCAAGAATCATTCTGGAAATGGTGTACAGGCAGGGAGTGTTCCAGTTCATTATCAGAGGTGCTTGTCCAATGAGAGTTTTCATTAAGAAGTATGAGTAAGTTTTGGAGTAGTGAAACAGAAATACTTCCCTAGTTATTGAGACAAATCGAAGTTTCTCTTGCAGCAGTGACACAAATTCCTAGTAATACTGAAGGACATTGTTACCCCTTGCCTCAGACTGTTTTCCTCATTGTGGGCTCTTCTCTTGCATAGAATAGTGATATTCTTCATTTTTTGTCCTCAATTTTACATAATGCTACCCTGGGGAAATGAGACCCCCAAAACAAAAGGTTCAAGATAGTTAAGCAAAAACATAAGCAGGCAAGAGGGTGGCTACCACTCATGGGAAAGAATAGGTCCGCTTTTCCTGTCCCTCTCCCAGTACCTGATAACACACTTCCAAAAAGGACCATGCAAAAAAGCCTGAGGGATGACAGAAACTCAATCAAGACAACACTAACTTTTTCTCACAAAACAAAGCTAAGAGAGAGATAAAGCTGAAGCACCCCAGACCTTTGTATGACTTTAAACACTTGGAAAAATATCCTCAGCAACCCAACAGCATAGGGCTCACAGCAGATGAGGATTTCCACAAGCACGGGACCACACTATTGTTTCACGCAGTAAAAGCAAGTGAGCATATGTTGGCCTATGTAACATTTTATTGGCAGCACTGTATATGATTTATATACCAGAACAAGAAAATAGGTAAATGCTGTTTCACGGAGTAGGACTGTCAAGACAGAAGAAAGGACAATGTTGAGGTTGTAGAACACCAAGTTCGAATAGTGGCCAGACACAGGTTGAGAATAAATTGACAATTGTGTATGCTGTATAAAACCACACATCTAATGTCTAAAAAAACAAATTTTCTCAAACCTAAATGTTTCTACTAACCAAAAAAAAAAAAAAAAAAAATTATCCTAGCAATTAAACTATGTTTGGCCTCTTTTGTGGAGGTGAAACTAACACTTAATATTTTAATGCCAAAGCACTATTTTAAATATGAAGATTTATCCTGAAGGACGTTTAATTATGCAGATTAAGATTCATCCTCATGGACATTTAAATATGCAGAATATACTTCCCAGGCATTTTTACAGTATTCAAACAGATTTTGTTCTCTTCCTGATATGCTACTGTTTGTGTAATATTACCCCACACATACACACATACACACTCACACACACACATGCACGCGTGCATGCACGCACGTACCCACGCAGATGCGTGCGCGTGCACACACACACACACACACACACCAAGCTTTTTTTTTTTAAACAAAACAAAACAAATTTATTCTATCAAATACTTTCCTCCCTGATACAGCACATACCTTGCAGACATATTAGTTTGCTTTGTTCACACCAAATTCTGGATAGAGACACAATTGCTTCTAGAAAGGTGAAGCCTATTTCCTTACCTCATGCTATGATGCCTTTTCATCGAGGTGACTGTAAAAATAACCCAATGTGAATGTACTGCTAGATGGAGATGCTACCCAGCAGACTGCTCTGTTTTTAGAATAAAGTATCACATCAGGAAACATTCAAAGTACAATCTTAGCTCCAATGTGTGAATGTCTATTCACAGGCCATTTCCTCACCGGAACTAATAACTGTTGGCATTGAGTGACTTATACGTGAGGCCAAGCAGGTGTCTTACACACAGGATGGCCACTCTTGCCATTTACAACTATGAGTGTAAACAAAATCTGTTTGGACAGAGCTGTCCTTCTTATGCTGGGCAGCTCCTTCTCTCATGGCTTTCTCAGAAAGAGTGAGAAGGAGGTGCAAGGGTATAAATGTACCTGAGCCTCTCTAACCACAGCTTATTCACTAGTTAGAAAAAGGCTTTTGTCCTTGTTAAAGAATGACACTGCTCTCGCACTAACTAGCACATGAACATATCCAGTACATAATCAGCACGTACAACGTGCCAGGCCCTGATTAGAACTGAAGATCCAGTGAGAGCCCCTTCGAAATGTGATGACCAGGAAATGGAGGTGAAAATTAGTGCTGTTTTTGCTTAGAACGGGTGAATACTGGCATAGATTATTTCTTAAACTTTACCGGTGGTCAGAAACGGAATACTATGAGAAGCATGTTCTTACATTAAGTGACATCTCCCTGTCAAACAGCTAGCTGGGACAAGTGCTAACGCCATTACCTCATCCCTTCTCCACTTCCTGAGGCTAAATCCAGAGCATCTGAACACCCATGGACTACTCCCCTGCCCCTTGAAAATTTCTAAAAAATTTTTACTTATTGTATAATGTGGAGCTCATGCCTTTAACACTAGCCCTTGGGAGGCAGAGGCAGGCAGATCTCTGATGTTAGAGGCCTGCCTGGTTTATATAGTGAATTCTAGAACAGCCTGGGCTTCATAGTGAAACCAGACCTCAAAAAAAAAAAAAAAAATTACAATATGATAGGGAAAATATTTATATTTCTATGGTAATGATAATTCTGGTCAATTAAAAATACTTGAGAGGCAATAGGAAGAAAGTATGATACAGAAATGTAGGCAATGCCAGAAAGGTCTTTTAAAAACTGCCATTGAACCAACTTGAATCTGGGAATATTTTCTGTGTGAGTCACTCAGGAGGTCTGGGGCAAGGGTGGGGTGGGGACTCATATTTTCCCACTGAGACCCGGAGCAGAGCTTACCAATAGGCAGTCCACCCTGACAAATAACTGCTGCCTAATTTGGGGGGTGTTTAAAGCATTTGAATGCCTTAAGCATGGAGAGCTCTGGTTTCTAAGATAATAAAATCTCAGCTCTGAACGCACCCTCCTTTTATAGATATAGAATGACCCTGTTTTTACAGCCAAGGGACTGAAGGCCGAAGGTAATTATTGAGGTAGCAATTTGGCCTTAAGGAAGAGCAAAAAATGAACCTTCTATTTGGCCAGAACACTCAAGGCTTACTCTTATCTCTGTTGCTGCCAATGGCCTGGCACTTAACCTCTCATTGCCTCGATTGTCAGATGGAGATGTGGACATCTGACCATTTATCAACAGAGACATGGAGGGGACGTGGAAGGTAATCTGAGCTAAGGGGGACTGAGTCCAGCACACGGTATTCATGCCTGCCGTAAATTGTCCTGGGATGAAACGGGTTCCTAAATTGAAAGGCAGTTTACGTGATGACACCGGTTCTTCACTCTTTTTCTGAGGACTATTTCATCGTGCGGAAGGAATTCTGACTGCTGTAAGAACATTAATAAACATGTTTTTACTCTATGGAGAAGGGAAATAAAGGGAGCTAAAGTTTACAGCCTGCTCAAGTCGCTTTCGCAAGTCCGTGTGGGGTAGATACGACCTCACACTTGAAGAGTGTCAGGCTGCCGTGGTAGGACTGCAGGCAGGCAGTGAGTTTTGAGTCATCTACTAAAAGACTCTAAAGGCTGTAATCCAAGATTCTTGGGGGACAAAAGGTCACAAGCAAAGAGCAGAAGTGTAAAAATCGTGGGGTTCAAAAAAATCATGCATGTGGGTGATTTTAGCTTCTTCCATACCCCTCCTGCCTCTGTTACTGGGTCAGGAATCTGACCCTCTCTCAGGCTGAGTGGATCAGTAACTGCCTGTAAACTCACATCTCCCCCCCCCCCACCACCCCCA